CGGTTCTGAAAAACTTCTCTCTAAAATCAATGTTTAATCATTTAGATACTTTTAACTTATGCAGTTTTGCATATTTGTTTAATATTCTATTAAATTAAATTTTCTGACCATTTTTACGGTTTCTGGGTAGAATTTGAACATAAATTGTCTTCCTTTGGCTTTCAGCTTTTTATCTGCCTATAGCTATGCATTATGTCTTTGATGGTTTTTGAGTGTCATGTCTTAATGTAGTCCTGTTCAAACTGTGGCCTGCTGGCCACATGTGGCCCGATTGGTTTTCTGAGTGCCATGCATAATTCTCATGAGGAAAATAAAGTTTATTAAAATTTTCTTGATTTCATTTCATTTTCACTTTTTGACCCACATTTTCTCATATATAATCAATGATTAAGTAGAATGCTTCTTAAATTTTGTAACCATTTCTTGATAACTTTTTCATCTTTTTAAAACATTGGCACCTTTCACTACGGAAGATCATGTGGGCAAACTTCATTTGCCATAGAAATAAGAAATATCCATGACTCTTCTGGAGAAGATATATACATTTTTATTTTTAAAGATATATATATATTTGCATACTCAAAATGAATAAATTAGAAACAAACGTGGCATATGTTAATTGCACTTGTTTGATTGAGTCTTTTTCTGCAGCTTATCAATACTTTGCAGATTATTTAAAGCCAGAAAATATTTTTAGATTTTTTTGACATTATAATGGTTTAGTGACAACTGTCTTACTAATTAACCTATAGATGGGGGAGAAGAGGTGGAGTCATTACTTTTCGAAGGGTATTTGTGCATAAGTGAATACAATGTCACCAGGGATAATATTTTACCAAAACTTCAGTTTTTTAATTATAAAAACAATCTTTTCTCCAAAGAAAAACAAAATTAGAATTTTCCCATTTCTAATGCAGATGCTTTTGCATATGATTTTCTGTATTGGAAATGGCTGTGTTACCATCAATAAAAAAATTGGCTTAAACATTTTAGTAGTGCAGCCCATGTTATGATAAACTACAGTGAGGTGATGGATAACGGCTTGGATTGAGGAATCGGAGAGCTGAGTTCAAATTCCAATTGAATCCATTATGTGCTGATACCCTTGAGAAAGGTATGAATCCTATTCTTCTCCTTCCAACTATGGGTAAATAGCAGGACAGACCAGATTCTATAGCCTTGGATGGCAATTGGCCTACCATAGAAAGAAATGGCAACCTACTGCGTGAAAAAAAATATCTCATCATTAGTCATGTATGAAAAGATACAAGATCGCCTAAGTGTGTATCACGCATGGCCCATAACTGACTGGCATACTAGGGTCAATAGATATAAATTAGTTAGTTTTTATACTTGAGTCAATAGGTTAACACTGGTCGGGTTTTATAATTCAGTCTATAGATTGATATTGGTCATCTATACATGATTCCGCAAACATCTACCCAGTAGTTGTTCCTTTTTTTTTTTTGAGTGGCTGCGTGTCAATCCTCTGTTGAGGATGTAGCCCACATATTCCAGTCTCTATCGATAGGGTGTTATATATATATATATATATATATATATATATGAGAAAGAGAGAGTGACATGATAAACAAATAAGGGAATGGATAGCAGCCTGGATTTGAGGAATTGAAGAACTGAGTTCGAATTCCAGTCAAATCCATTACATTCAGTTATGTGCTAATATCCTTGGGAAAGGTATGAATCCTCTTCTTCTCTTCCCAGCTATGGATAAATAGCAGGACAGACCGGGTTCTATAGACTGGGTGGCAATTGGTCTACTGTAGAAAGAAATGGCAACCCACTGCAGGAAAAAATCTGCCTTGTCAGTCATGTATTGAAAGATACATGCTCACTTATGTGTTTATCACATATGGCACATAATGACTGAGGGGTGAAATGATCTATATATATATATATATATATATATATATATATATATATATATATATATTTTCATTTACTTACATGCTAATACTCTTGGGTAAGGTATGAATCCTTTTCTTCTCCTCCCAGCTATGAGTAAATAGCAGGACAGACCAGGTTCTATAGCCTTGGATGGCAACTGGTCTACAGCAGAAAGAAATGGCAACCTACTGCGGGAAAAAAATCTGCCTAGTCAGTCATGTATTGAAAGATACATGATCGCATAAGCGTGTATTACCCATGGCACATAAGTGACTGATATCTCATGCAGGCCAGTGCTCAAAAAAAGGCTTCCCGTACCTGTTTTAATGTATCTTGTCTTTTGTTTTTTTCAAGTATCACATTTTCATACATCAATTTGTGATGACAGATGCTCTTTTTGTTTTTCTTTTTAAATTGTGATTTTGACATTCCCATTATTTTAATTCACACTTTGTGTTGCCCCTTTTGCTGACAAACATTTATTCTATATTCTTTCAGTGAATGTCTCAATTTTCATTGATTACTTCATTTAGAATCTGCCCTCAATGTGTGTAATAATGCTATATCATGTTGATTACTGAAACTGCTATAGTTCTGGGCAAATATATAAAAGGTATTACAAAAGTGTACAGACCATGAAAAAATATTAGTTACATTAACACCTACAAGATGTGATGGTATATATTACCACACCTATAGAAATTTAATATTACAATATTTTTTTTTAATGAAGTGTTCACTTAGTACAAGACCGAAAATTTCCTTAAAGCAGAGAGATACTGAAAGCGGTTATCTTAAGAGCATAAGGGCAGGGAGTAAGAAGTGCTGTTTATATGTATGAAAGATAGCAGTTAACCCTACATTTGAAGAGGTTAAAATTGTAGTAATCAGGGAAGAAATCTCTCAAGAGTCTATTCCATAAAGTAGCCCATCCTGGGTATGACGATAAACTACGTTCAAACAGCAAGGCCTCTGACCAGGATCTTTTGAGGAGTGTGGAACCACATCTTAATTGCTGGTGTTCCCAGGTCTACAGTTGTAACACCTGTTAGGGTCCCAGCTATGGGCAAATAGTTAACACTCAAACTTGTGTAAAAATTTAATACCAGAAATACTTTGTAATAAAAAAATTATTACCAGCAATAATTTTTGAAGGAAAAATTATTATCAGCAATACTTAAAAAAAAAAATACCAGTAATACAAACAGCTCTACATTCTTTGAAAAAAATATGACCAGCTATAGATTTCTTCAAGGAAAAATATTCCCAGAAATAGATTTTTGAAGAAAAACATATTACCAGCAATAACAATTTTGTCGGCATTAAATAACCCATTGAGGTTGATATGCTGTGAAACAAAACAAAACAAACCAAACCAAACCAATCCATAAAGTAGCAGTTCTTGGAAAAGAAACTGGTCAAATTGAACTCCCTTCTTATTAATGAACTATAAAGGGATCAGAGATGATTTGTTCCAGTGTATGTGACATGGTTGATCTTAGCTGTGAAGACCAGAATGTAACACATGAGAACATTTGCCATGGGAAAATAAAGCAAGGGAGTGTTGAAGTTGGAGGAAACACTTAACCGATTGTTCTCTTAAGAATTACGGAGTAATACTCAGAGGAAGGAAAGAGACAGGAGGAAACAAAAATAAAACTGAGCAATGACAACACCCTCAAAAACCACAGCACGTGCAACTTCTGGAACAAAATGTGCCAAGGGAATGTCTTCACAGGACACTGCGTCTCACCAACTGTCTACTGCTGACTGCTGGTTTTCCCGTCACTTTTACTGACATCTGTATCTGGACATGCCAAGCTGTTCTGCTGCTAACAGAGAAAATCCAGTTGTTACTAGCTTTGTCTGCATGTAGGTTGGGGCCAGTTTTGTGTCTGTGCGGACTCATGTTCGCCACAGACAGAGTAAGAAGAAACTTGCAACATTTCATCTTTGGGATAAGTGTTGTAGGGTGGAAAATAATTCAGCACGTGGCTGCATGGGTACTTTTGAACTTTATCGAGATTTGAAAGAAAGGGCTGAGCAGCTCCAGTTAAGATATGGCAGTAGTGATCCATTTTCTATCTTTCTCTTGTAAAGACAGAACAGGAGGAGTCAGGTACTTTCTGGAATTGTACAAGGAGTCAACCATTTTTCCAGAATCTTTAGTGATATATCTTTAGTCATATATGAATTCTACTTGAGGTCTGAATTGAATTGAGTGCCAATAGGCATTGAAAGAATATTGGTATGAACAAATATCTATCATTGCTCAAATCTGAACTCAATTTTTTTAATCCATTTTATGTATTATTAAAAATCAAGCCACCTCAGTTAATTATATCATCTTCTAATTGCCAAGTCCCTTCAATACATGGGCAATCATGGTTCTCCACAACGTCCTGTTCTCTTAGTAAAATGTGTCTTTTTTTTCTATCTCTCCTAATCCTTGTTCTGTCAACCATTTACATAAGCTCATTAGAGAGAGATTTTCCTCTTGCTTTCAGTATCTCCTGTAAGTGTCAAATTTTCTAGGCCCTCTTTCTTCTTTATGTGTCCTAGGAATTTCAACTATCTTTTTCTGATTCACATATGCAGTCCATTGATGTTGATCATGTATTCAATCCATGGTATTTCCAGCATCCTTCTGTAGAATCATATTTCAATCGCTTCTTCATCTGTGAGAAGAATGTCCACTGTTTACTGTCATAGAGGAGGGCCAATATCACATAACTGGTCAGCAATCTTTTCTTTGTGTCTAAAGAAATTTTCCTGTTTCTTAATACTTTAGCTTTTGGAAGCCATTTTTCACTATTCCAATGCACTTTCTAATTTTTAAGTCATGTTTTCTGTCTCCTGTTAAAACATGTCCTAAATATTCAAACTGTTATACTTGTGTAATTTTTGTGCTTCCAATTTAAAGATTTCATCCTTTTACTGACAACCATATATTCTGTCAACTTAAATTTTATGCTTTAGTCCTTTCTTCCCATGTATGGCCACATCACGTTGGAACACTGGTTCCCATATGATCACCAAAGTTAAGCAACATTGAGCCTGGTAAGTACCTAGAATGGTGACAGCTTGGGAATGTGTTAGAGAATGCAAAGGCCAGGGCCAGAATGGTCAGTGATTGGCCAGAATGTCTTGTAGGCATGGTATTCTGACAGTCCAAAATGATGCAAATTCAACAGAGGGTCTCAAGAATTCTGAAACATTGATATGTCTCCCACACCCAGGTTTATGACTGGCTAATACCACCTACAAAAGGACACTGAGCCAATGTGCTACATGCATTTCTGTGACATCATTTCTCCTACTGATTCTTAGAATTCAAGCTGCCATTCTTAAGAACCAAATACCAAAAGTAAATCACCCTTTTCATTGATATTTTTTAATGTAGTAGCGTGAGGATCCTGAGAAAATACAGAATGCAACAAATACCAGGTGTTGTAATCCTGGATGTGCAGGTGGTGTAATGAATAAAAGCTAGAAGTTGTTAAACGGAGAGCCAAGTTCTAATTCTTGTGTTTTTTATATTCACTTACACACAAATACCCTTGGGAAAGATATGAATTCACACTTTCCCTCCAGCTATAGGTTAATTAGTAAGACTTGTATTACTAAATCATTATTATCATATAAAAATATCTTGCAATATAAGAATATTTCCTGGCTTTAAATAAGCTACAATGGGTTGATAAACCATAAAGAAACAAATTAATCAAGCAATCCTTTCTTTCCACTTTCATTTTCTACCTTGAAGCAGAAAAAATAAATTGTATGAGTGTTCGTCAAAACTTTCTCGATAATCACAGCCATTATCCACTATATTTTCATTTTTACTTTCTAGTTAAATATTCTTGTTTAATATTCAGGAACAGTTTCATATCTGCTACAAGAAATTGGTTCTTCCATGTTATATATCAAATCCTTTCCTTCTCGGTATCCATTTTCTTTCCTACTTTTTATTTTCTTTATTCTTTAAGCAAACATTTTAATTGTAACATTGCCTGATTATGTTCATATATTGATCCAAACTTTTATTTGAGTTGAATGTATTAATCCAGCCCCTACCCCACCTCACCAGATTAACCCAAATTTCATATACAGGCATAAGATTAAGGGTTAATCCTATGATGCAGAGAAGAAAACTACACTACTCCCAACAATATGTGGGGCTAAGATGAGTTCAGACTTTTAAAAGTAAAAGAAGATGGAATGGCAAATATTGCAGGAGAGAGTTTACTTTATGAATTGAAAATTAAAGAAAAAGTTATTTGGAAAAAAAGGAAAATTTAAAAAGAAAGAAAATATCAGAAATTAAAGGGTAAAAAAAAGAACAAAAATGAAAGAAAAAGAAAGAAAGAAAGAAAGAAAGAAAGAAAGAAAGAAAAGAAAGAAAAAGAGGGAAGAAAATATCAGAAATTAAAAGGGTAAAAAAAAGAACAAAAATGAAAGAAAAAGAAAGAAAGGAAAAGAAATTTGCAAGATAAATGGAAACAAATAATTGATTGATTTGTTTTTTACAGATTATCAGCCCTTTATGTATTTCTTAAAAACTAAAACATATCTGGAATTCCAAATATAATTCTTTTTTTTATGGGGCTGGGGTAAATATTGCATTTAGTTTCTTGAGAATAAAAATGATTTTACTAAAGAAGTTCTAGTATTTAACCCATAGTTGGTGGGGAGAAGATGGATTCATAGCAAGCAAATATATAAAATAAAAACTGCATTTCATTATGATGGTGATTTTTTAAAAATATACACAAATAATTATAACAGAGTGCATTCACGCATGTCTTTCAAAAATCACCATCACAACGAAATACAGTTACAATAAGTTTGTCTTTGTAATTTACCATTGAAGATGATCTTGTACGAGATTGAAAGTACTTGGGTAGGAAAAAAATACAGTGCCTTCTTTGATGAATTTCATCTTAACATCAAGAAACTGATAAAAGAACTGGAAAGGATCATCATAAAAATAAATACACAATATGTCTATATTATTCAATGAAATATGTATATATATATATATAAAGTACACAGCAAAATCCAAAATTACCTCATATGGGTGGTGAGTATAGATCTAGTTCCACTAACGAGAAACATGTGAGTCTTATTCAAACCTAGTGTACATAGCCTATACACTGGGGTTGAATAAGAATAACATATTTCTCGTTGGATGAAATAGATTTATACCCCACCCATATGAAGTAATTTTGGATTTTGCGTAATTTATATGCTCGGTTATAATAAAATACATTGAGCTCTTTTTGTAGATCATTTTTAATATTTGATATTATTAGGATCCACTTGGATTATATACCAATAAATTTCTTACTTGTAATACATATATATATATATATATATATATATATATATATATATATATATATATTGGGCACCCCAAGACAGGGCAATGGTTAGGAAGCTTGTCTCACTAGAACAATTACTACTCAGTAGTGAGTTGGATCCTGACTGGATGCCCCCTACTTTCAGCCTTGTGCCACATCTAAGCTACACTTGAAAATAACTATATATATATATATATATATATATATATATATATATATATATATTGAATAATAAAAAAATATTAAAAAATTTAAATTTTCAGACACACTGGGTTGTATATTAATATTTTTGGGTTTTAATATTTCAATTAGGCTCCGCAACTAGTTTCAGCCAGCATGGCCATCATCAGGAGAAAAAAATTCCTGCATGTTAGTAGCAGTCAACTACAGGAATCATATATATATATATATATATATATATATTTAAGAAAAACTTCAAAGAAAAACCTAACATTTGTTTGGTACATTTAAATCAGTCTGAAGTTGCAGTGTAATTCAACTGTTAAAATAAATTTATGTTTATGAAGCTGAAAAATAAAAATGTAAGTTGTTTCTTAGAAATTTTTCTTAATTACATATATATATATATATATATATATACACGCACACACAAATGTAGGGTTTTTGAAATTTTTCTTAAATATATTGATTTGTATGATTTGTTACTATTCTCATACATTGAGCTCTTTGGCAGGAGTTTTACCTGTTCATTTTTTTAGTTACTCCTCAGGATTATCCACATAACCAAAGGATTTTACATATATAAATATATATATGTGTGTGTGTGTGTGCATGTGTGTGTGTTTGTGTGTGTGTATACAGTGTGTTCAGAAAGTCTCTATGCACTTGTATATTTTATTAACAGACAGTTTTCAATATAAAATACAGGCAGTAAATATGAATTAAAATTAGAAACATTTGCCTGTTAGCATCAATCTGAAATATAAAAATATGATTAGAAAAGGACACAGTAACTTTCCAATCACCCTGTATGTATGTGTGTGTGTGTAGATATATATATATATATATATATATATATCATTTTAAGAAAAGAAAGAAACTGAAGACGTTTTTGGTTATAATGTGGATTTGTTTTACTGTATATATTTTTTTCTTCATATTAAAATATGAAGAATAAAATATAAAATATAATATATACACTAAAACAAATCAACATTATAACCGAAAACGTTTTCAGTTTCTCTATTTTTAAAAATATACATCTTTCTCTTGTTGGAACAATTATAACCTTTTCCATATATATGTATATATATATATATATGTATATATATATGAGGGTGTATATGTGCGCATGTGTACGTTTGTTATATAACAATATTTTATTGAAGGATTTAAGAAATTATTGTAAAAGTATTATAAACAATTGAATTGCTGAGTGAAGTTAAAATTATAATTACTTTTGAGAAAACAGAAAAGAGAGAAAAAAAATAATCCAAATTCAGAATATTCTCTCTTACCAAAAATCATTAAATGTCTTCTTCATTTAATAGTTGATCATCAATTAAATCATCAATTAAAATATTATGCCACAATAGTCTATCTTTATCAGTTGGCTTATTTCTATTCAACATCTTTTATGGGTCGGTGGGAGGTAGGGTTGATTCTTGTCAGCCTATTGTTTTCATTTAATTCCTTTCTTTTTTCGAAATTTTGGTAAAAAATAGTCATTACATTTATTTCACCATTTCTTTTCCTTTTCCTTTAGATAAAGTGTTCCTGAAAAAAAAACAAAAAAAAACGTGAATACACTGAAAATCAATAAACAACAAAATATGCTATGTATTTTTCTCAAAAGCTTTCATATCATGAGAATGGGGGGGAAGAAAAAAATGAGAAATATATTTTCAGACATTGTAGCAAAAGACTGCCTTGTTCAGTATATGACAATGGTTGCTCTGAAAACCAGTTTTGTAGTTTCAAGACAATATCTTGATGTAAGTGGTTAATTTTATGGCAAATAATTATTTTTTTTCTAATTATCTGATGGTATTTTTAAAAAATTTTTTGTTAGTCAAAAATTGAATAATAGCTAATGAGTTCTGGTTATATAACCCAAAGTATTGTATAACAAATTGTGATTTTAATTGCTAAAACAAAGACAATGCTAATAATTGATACCGCAATCCAAACAGACTACAATTTTACTAAATAAAGAACTGAAAAATTTATTGTTTTTAAATATTAAAAGTAGAAAATTGCAGCATTTGAATGTGGTTCAAATCAGAAATAAAATAAAATGTGGTTCGAAACAGAACTAACAAGAACTCATTAGACACAAGTTAAGTTCATAAAAAGCTTACGGTATATTAAGATGAAGTAGGGGTCAAATTTACTATCTATAGTACCATTTATTGTTGATTCCATTAGGTTACAGTGTTTAAAATGGTTGACTATCGGCATAGTTCTTTTTTGTGATTTAAGATTTCATACAGGGATGTTGTGTTCTTTCTGTTTGACGGAAATTAATTTGCTGCATTTATCCTTTCTTCTTCTTTCTCTTCTGGAGTTGTACGTCAGGTCAAGCTCACAGCCAATGAATCACCAACCCTTGCATCTCGAACTGCTACCTCAAATCAAGTTCCTCTCCACTGCGGCGTCTCTAGTCTTGTATGTGGTTTTCTTCTTTTTAATGGGGCTGACACATCCATGTTTCCAGTTTGATTTTTGGTGGGACGTGTTGTCATTGGTTGATTTTTTATGACATTCAT